GTATAATCCTCCCATTTATCTTTTGGTACAGATCTGGTTTGATTAGGGTTCAAGTAGATCCTTGAATATTGTATTCTAAATTTAGGGAATATGATTCCCAGTTGGGAGAAGGTAGGAAATTTTTGAAATTCGCCCACCCATTCCGCAACCTTTATGGCGTCCATTAGATGGATCCTACCATTCTTTCACTCTTATTCTATCATTTCTGGTTTTCCACCCACCCATCTCATTCACATTTCTGCTACATTCAGCTTTTGGGCATGCCATTTCTTGATTGCCCAACACTCTGATCCATACAAAATTGGTGGCCTTATAACTTCTTTATAAAACTTTCCAGTTTCCCCATAACCTGAATGTTAGGGATGGCAATTTTCCCCATTTCCTGTTGGGTACCCAACATCCCTGACCCGATAGGGTTGGGGATGGAGATTGCCTTGGCAGGGACGGGGATGGAGAGTGAATTCCCCACCCCGCCCTGTGTAGAGAGGATGAGGGGTAACTTTGTAATTTTACTTTCTTTTATTTGGCTCTTTTGTATATGTCTTTGTACATTACTGTACATATTTTATTCTTATAAGGACAGAACTGTCCATTATCACATTAATATATACACACGCATCCATTTTCGTGTGACTCTCTTGTCTCTTCTCTTCTTCGACTGAACTGACAATGGTATCAGAAGAGGTTGCTCATTGATCTTATTCTTGCTTCTTTGTCACTTTTTGTGGGCAGTAATCCCATCTCTCTACTGAGATCTACTGCACCCTTCAACTGGTGGAGTGTATAGGGCTGTTTTTTATCAACCCTACCTGCTGTACAGACAGAGTTTGATCTCTGCAAGAGAGATTTCATTAGATCTCTCTTGGGAGATCTCAGATCAGGGCCAAACTTCATATCTGGTGTCACCTAGACCAGATCTATCTGCTGTACAAATCTCTCTTGATTTGGTGAAGTTTTAAAGGGGTTTTGATCCTCTTCCTTGGGTGGCTGCTACTTACAGTTTCCTTTTTTGGACTGTTAATTTTTCGACTAAGGTTTCAGATTTCGTTTACTTACTCTAAGGGTCTCAGTGATTTCCGGTGATTATTATCTCCTCCTTAAGGTATTCCTCTTGACTTATGGTGATTGTTACCAACTTTTCTATAGTCTTTCTTTGGCTTCTTGACTGAATATGGGATCTGAAAGGGGTGGCATCATACCTGTGAAATTCGATGGAACAAACTAGGCTCTTTGGAAATTCCATTTCCAATTTTTTGTTGAAGGGAAGGGTATGTGTGGCTATCTGGATGGTACCACAACCATTCCTGATGCTACAGATGCTAAAGGGATGAAACAGTGGAAAACAGTAATGCCCAAATAGTTTCCTAGATATTAAGTTCAATCACTGTCAATGTAGCTATTCCTATGAGGGGCCTGAAAACTGCTAAGGAGATGTATGACTACCTTGAGAAGGTGTATCAACAATCAAATGTGTCCAAACAATATCATATTGAAATGGGCATATTCTCATACACCCAGGGGAGAGAAGAATACAGGAATATTATGCTGGTTTTGTTAATCTATGGACAGGATATGAACTTGTTCATCTTGGGGTATCTTAGACCCGACTATGAGTTGATAAGATCCAACACACTCAGCAAGGAAAATGTGCTTGACTTGGACACCATATTGGGTGAACTATTAAGGGAGGAGACTAGACTATACACACAGTCCTCCCTTGACAGCAAGAAAGAATATGGACATGATACAGTTTTGTACCTACTGCAAGGAGTTCGAACATGTGGCCTCTCACTATAAGAAAAGGAATTTTTGTACCTACTGCAAACAACAGGGTCACATTATTACTGAATGCCCCACCCGACCTCCCAAGAAGGGTCAATACAAGGCACTTCA